ACGGCAGGGGCCCGGTGGCACCCCTGCCGCACAACAACGAGGAGAAGGCCGAACAAACGGCCTAGGTCCCCCCCTCCTAAAGGGGGGGACTAAGTTGAGCGCGATACAAGCGTGACGCAAGGGCCATCTGGAGTTTTGCGTAGTATTTCCCAGATGGCCCCCACAATGCGCGATTAGGTGGCCACTCCCGGTGGTTGTAGTGCGGTAGGCGTCTCCGTTGCACTACTGGCTCTGGGCCATCTTCCCAGGTGCCAGGGAGACGAGTCCCACACACCACCCGTCCCTCTCTCCAGGAGGGACGGGTGACGGTCCATGAGGATTTCCACCGGGTCAAAAAAAAAAAAAGGTTAGCCAACCTGCCCCCTCGTGGTAGGCCACCTTGTCGTGGTGAGGGGGCTTGTAGGCGGGCGTCTGTCTGGAAGCCGCTGTGTGCCGTTTAAGGCTCCGGCGGTCTCCTGGACGGGCGCCCGCCGACTAAGAGCCTACCCTTCCCCTGGAAAGGGGAAGCAGGGAGCCCGGCGACTCCGGTCTCGGCTGCCTCGACGAGAGTCGAGACAGTACCTGAGACCACTCGCCGGTAGGGGATGAGGTACCCCGAGTGCAAACCTCCGGCTGCTGGGGCCGTTAGGGGGGAGCTTGCTCCTCCCACCAGCCATGAGGGGGAGAGAGTCTCAGACGCCATTGCACGCCGGTGTTCCGGCAGGCGTCTGAGATTCGGGGGGAGGCCACTGTCACCCATTGCACGCCGGTGTTCCGGCAGGGTGGCGGTGGCAAGGGGAGCTCCTCCGTCAGCGGGCTCGTCGTGGACGGGCCCGCGGGCGGGGGGGAGCCGGACCCCGGAGGTATTAGGACGTGGTCCTAGCCGAAGGGTGGGCCGGAAGACGTGGCCTCCCCGCGGTTGATTCGGACGTGGTCCGTGTCTTCCGGGGGGAGGGGCCGGACCTCCGTGGTAAACTGGCATCCAGGATCCGCGGAGTGGGATGGCAGTCGGAGGCTGGGCGGCAATCTGTCGCTCAGCGCCCGCCTGTTTCCGTGAACTCGTCAACCCCTGTGTCTGGGGCCGACGTCCCGCTGCTGGGGCGTGCGGCCTGGCATACGGGGGGGCGAGGGAGTGGAGGCAGGAGGGAAGAGGGAAAGTTCCCTCGCGGTTGGGTCGGACGTAATCCGGCCCTTCCGGGAGGGGGCGGGGCCCCGGGTACACGTCGGGTCTGTGACTCGCGTCGCCCGGATGGCCCGGCATGGACGGGGGTCGGGGCCGCTCGGGCGTTTCCGAGGCGGGGCCCGACCGCCTGGGGACCGCCGGGGCCGCTGGGACTTATTCCCAGGCAGGGTCCGGTGGTCCGGGGACGTTGGTCGGCAAGCCTGCTGGCCAACACCCGATCCTCCGTGACGAAGCGGTCAGTCCCTGCGTCTGGGGCCGACGTCCCGCTGCTGGGGCGTACGGCCTGGCGTACGGGGCTGGTCGTGGAGGGCGGAGGATCGGTAGTGTGCATGGTGTGTGTGAATGGGCCGCGGCCGGCTGCCGGTGGATATTTCCCTGAGACTAACCAAGGGGGGGAGTAGTAAACCCCCCGACCGGGGACGAGCGGTGACGTCTGTCCTGACCTCTGCCATGGACTACGCGGGACCGTAAGCCCAGTTTACTGGCAAAGTCCGCAGGAAGTGGCATGTTCAATGTGGGAAAACCGCTCCCGTCTCGTCCGTCTGGAGCCAATCAGGGCGTTGAAACCGGCAGTCCGGGCGCGGGTGTGGGGGGGCCGGTTAGCCGCCGACCCCCCATACCCAGCTGAGGGGGAGAGTTCCTCGGCAAGCTCTAGCCCGGGGGCGGGGTGAGCGACCGAACGTTTCGGCACGCGCCCCGCTCCTGGGGTGAGGATAAGCCTTTAGCATATTAGTGGCCGTCTCCAGGGACATTTTTCGTATATTCACTGGTCGGGATAGGGGTGGCTCCCCGACAAGCGGCTTCTCCGCTTCCCGGCCCTTAACTAGGGCTTTACTTAACCGGGGATAGCACCCCCACTGCGGTGAGGGTCCCATGATGGGCGAACCGGTCGTAAAATTACCTGCCATCATGTCTACAAACAAAACCCATGCACGAAGAAGAGTAGGAGACGGAGAAGCGGGCAGCTCCAAGGGGACGGGAGGTGGGTCGGCTGAGCCCCAAGGAGAGACCCGATGCGAGGTAGCCAGCACGCTGGTTAAGAAGACGCGTGGCACGAGGCCAGGGCCGCTGTCCTCTAAACTGGTCAGAGACCTTCCGCTTCCGGAGTCGGATGACTCCGATACGGAACGGATGGTCGATGTGGAGGATGTCGACTCCGCAGACGGTGACGAGACGTCGTCAACCTCTTCCGTGGACCAGGTGACTGGAAAGCGGAAGAAGAGAGGGATGCCCCCGACGACCTATGCGGGGATAAAAAAGAAAAAAAGGGAGAAATGCAGGAGGGAACTCCTGCGGATGAGAGCGGAGAAGAAGGCGCTAGAGGCGGTGTTAAACCCGAAGGTGACACCGAGATGCACAACGCCTGAGGAGGACATCATCCGTCATTTGGAGGGCCTTAATCGGGAACAAATGGCGGCAGAAATGCTGGAAAGCATTAATCAGGTAGCGAAGGTTGCCCAGACGTCTAAGAACTTAAAGGGCACCTACATAAAGGCGTTAAAGACGTGTACCAAGAAACTGCGAGCGGCAGCCACAGTGGTGGGCACAAAGGTAGGTCCCGACAGCACGACGCTGGAGGAGACTAAGAGGTGGAAGGAGAGGGTGAGGAGCCTTGAGGACCAGGTGGAGAGGCTGACGACCCTCCTCCACGAAGAGAGAGCCGCAAGGTTAGCGGCGGAAGGAAAGGTGCAGAGGGAAAAGGCCTCAGGGGAAGGGATGCCTGAAGCTGCGCAGGATGTGATCGAAGTGCAGCACGTGGCAGACCACACACCCCGGGCCAGCACCCGAGCGCAAACCAAGGGGAAGCCTGAGAGAATGGCGAAGCAAATGAGGCCCAAGGCCCAGGGCCCGAAGCAAGAAGCAGCGAAGAGGGAAAAACCGGAGGCAACAGGCAGGACTGAAGACACTGTCTACCGGCCAATGATCAGGGGAGAGAGAAAGGTGCTCAGAGACCCGCCCGCGGAAGATGCTATGGAGGGCATCAGGAGGGTGATGGAGGGAGTCTCCATAAAGGACGTGGTCAGTGGAGAGCCGGAGAAAGTGAAGCGCAACCTGGAGGACTTAATAACCAGGTGCCAGGGAGCACTGATCCGAATCCCGAAAGAGAAAGGGGACAAGGAGAAGAAACTCCCGGTCATCACCAAGATGGAGAAGGTGAGGACAAAGGTGAGTTTGAGGGCGAGAGAGACGGCGGCGCGAATCGTCCAGAAGACCAAGGAGGTAAAGGCGCCGAAGGAGCAGAAGACCCGGGAGGAAGAAAAGAAGACCCCGGCTCTAGCCAAGCCGACCACCTCCTGGACTGAGGTGGTCAGAAGGGGCAAGAAGAAGACGGAGGGCACCAAGCAGGAGACGGCGGTGAGAAACGGAAAGCCAGAACCTGCGGCGGCCGCCAATAAGACTGCGGAAAAGACGGCGAAGGGGAAAAAACCGCCAAAGAGGAGGTCACCCAAATCAGCGGCGGTTGCAATTACCTTTCCGGAAGGACAGGCCGGGGAGGGAATGAGGTTCCTGAGGTCTAGGATTAAGCTGGAGGACCTAGGAATCGAAAAGGTTAAGAGCAGGAGAGCCCTAAACGGGGCAACCCTGCTCGAAATCCAGGGAGGAGGGGACGCGAAGGCCAAAGCCGATAAACTTGCCACCCAGATCAGAGAGGTGGGATAGGATAAGGGGGTAAGGGTCACCCGTCCCGAAAAAAGGGCGGAGATCCGCCTAAAGGATCTAGATGATTCCATAACGGAAGAGGAGATCCGGGCTGCAGTGGCGAAGGCTGGAGGCGGGCTCCCGGACGACGTCAAGGTGGGCCCTATCCGGCAGACCCCCAGCGGCCTAGGAACATGCTGGGTCCAATGCGGGCTCGAGGTGGCGAAGAGGACGGCTGCGGCGAGGAGAATAAGGCTGGGCTGGGTGGCATGTAGGGTTGAGCTGCTTGAACCCCGCCCCCTAGTATGTTATAAATGCCTGGAGAGGGGGCACATTAGAGCACAGTGTAGAAGCAGCACTGACAGGAGCACACTGTGCTATCGGTGCGGAAAAGAGGGACACAAGGCGCAGGGGTGCAAGGAGACCCCTAACTGCGCCGTGTGCAAGGGAAGAGGACTGCCCTCCAACCATAAGGCTGGAGGGGCAGCATGCCGACTCCCGAGCAAGGGGGAGAGAAAGAGAGCGGCTAGGACGAGCCGAGAGGAAGGCCGGACCAAAGGGAAGGACAACACGAAGACGAGCGCAGGCCCGTCTACGGAACAAGGGGAGCCAATGGAGATAGAACCAGCGGCGCAAGGGACGGGAAAACACCCGAAGGAGAGCAGCAGCCAGGAGGAGGCTGAGAAGGAGGCGCCTTCACAGCAATGAAGGCGCTCCAGGCGAACCTCAACCACGCTTGCCAGGCCCAGGATCTTTTCCTCCACAGCCTGGCAGAGCGTGGTTGTGGGCTCGGCATTGTGGCCGAGCCGTACCGTGTCCCCAAGAATCCCTGCTGGGCGGGGAGCACGGACGGCTCGGCGGCGATCGTTTGGAGGAGAACGGGGGAGCGCACCCCCCCCTTCTCCAAGCTAAAAGCCGGAGAGGGATGGGTGGCGGTCGAGTGGGGGCCCCTGACCGTGATCGGGGTTTACATGAGGCCCAGCCTCTCGAGGGCAGAAGCGGAGACCCGGCTTCAGGAACTGGAGGATGTGGTCCGGGAGTATCTCCCCGGGCCAATACTGGTCGCCGGGGACTTCAATGCCAAATCGGCACTTTGGGGTTCCCGGCGGCCAGACGCCAAGGGGGCGGACGTGGAGGCCTGGGCAGCGCGCCTGGGCCTCCACCTGGAAAACACAGGAAATGTCAGCACCTGTGTAAGGCCGCAGGGGGAGTCAATCGTCGATCTGACGTGGACTTCCCCTGCGGCCGCGAGGAGGGTCAGCAAATGGGTAGTGGCGGGTGGCCTTGAAATACTATCCGACCATCTCCCCATCGACATTGAGCTTTCCTGGGAGGATAAAAGGAGGGGGACGCAAGAGCGGATGATCTGGTGGAGGACGGATAGGCTCGACCTAGATAAATTGAGGGAGTCCCTGCAAGCGGCACTTTGGACGCAGCCGGAACCTGCTGCCACAGTGGAGGAAGAAGCGGAACTGTTGCGGCACATGATGAAGAACGCGTGCGACAACGCGATGCCGCGCGCGAAGTTCGTCGCTCGCAGCGCGGCCTACTGGTGGTCGGGGGAGATCGATGAGCTCAGAAAATCCTCGGTGGCCGCCAGGAGAGCCATCCTGCGAGCGAGAAGAAGGAGGAGGACTCTCCCCGCTGAGGAGGAGAGACTCGTGGAGGAGTACCGCCAGAAGAGGAAGGCCCTAAGGCTGGCGATAAAAACTGCCAAGGAGAGGGCGTGGGAAGAACTAATTAGTTCACTAGACGCGGACCCATGGGGACGCCCCTACAAACTTGTTATGAACAGGTTAAGTTCTGGGGCGCCCCCGGCGGTCGAAGGGGTGAACCCACGCTTTCTCCAAGAGGTGGTGGAGGCGTTGTTCCCAGCGGGGGATGGCGGTGCTCCTCGGCGAGAGGAACACAGGGGAGAGGAGCATCAGCCTTGGCAGGAGGAGCTGGGGGTCACCCGGACGGAACTGGCCAGAGCGTGTAAAAAGCTCAAGAAGGGCAAAGCGCCAGGTCCGGACGGGATCCCCGGCATAATATGGAAGGAAGCCCTGGGGGAGCTCTCCGATAGACTAGAGGGTTTGTTCACCCGCTGTCTGGAGGAGGGCATCTTTCCGGGGCTGTGGAAGCGGGCAAGGTTGGTGCTCCTCCCCAAAGAGGGCAAGTCCCCGGAGGAACCGGGGAGCTATAGGCCGATCTGCCTCTTGGACGAGGCCGGCAAGCTTTTTGAGCGGGTCATAGCGGCCCGCTTGATGGGCCATGTAGAGAATGCTGGGCCTGGCCTGTCCGAGAGGCAGTTCGGCTTCCGGGAAGGGCGCTCCACAGTGGACGCCATCGAGTGCGTGCGCGAAGTTTCGGATAGACTGATGGGGGATGGAGGGGTTGTGCTGGCGGTAGCCCTTGATGTGGCAAACGCCTTCAACTCCATCCCCCACCAAGAGATTGTAGTAGGTCTGGAACGGCTGGAGGTCCCCGGTTATTTACGTAAAATAATCGGGGACTACCTGCGAGAGCGAACGATCTCGTGCGTAGATCGAGAGGGCGATTATCGCGAGTGGAGAGCGGATCGCGGCGTCCCGCAGGGGTCGGTTCTAGGACCACTCCTGTGGGACGCGGCGTACGACGGCGTACTGCGTGCGGCGCTCCCCGCCGGCTGCACATGCGTGTGTTATGCGGATGACACGCTAGTGTTAGCCGGCGGGGAAGACTGGGAGGAGGCCATCGCCAACGGTAATCTGGCGGTGGACTGCGCGGTTTGGGCCATAAAGGCATTGGGGCTAAAGGTGGCGGCGAAGAAGACTGAAGCCGTCTTCTTCCACCGTCGTGGAAGGCGGAACCGTCGTTCGGCCGGGCCGCCGCCTGAAGCCCGAATCAGAGTAGATGGCGAGCGAATAAAAGTGGGGGCCCAGATAAAATATCTGGGCCTCCACATAGACGGAACCTGGGGCTTCGAGGAGCACTTCCGGAAACTGGTGCCCAGATTGGACAGCGCGGGAAACGCGTTATCGCGCATAATGCCCAATCTGGGCGGGCCGTGTGGGAAGACTAGGAGGCTATACGCCAACATAATATCATCGATAGCGACGTACGGTGCCCCCGTGTGGGCAGAGCCCCTTCTGAGGAGCAGGAAATCCCTGTCGATCCTCAGGGGGGCTCAAAGGCGAATGGCCATTAGAGCCATACGGGGGTACCGTACGGTATCCCACACGGCGGCCACGCTGCTGGCCGGGACGCCGCCCCTTGACCTGGTGGCGGCCGAGTACGCAAAAGTGTACCGGCGCATCAGGGAACTCCGGGGGCAAGGCGTCCCGGTCACGGCGAAGGCCAGGAGGCTCCTTGGAGCCCGGGCTAAGGAGACACGGGAGGAATGGCGGGCGCGACTTTCGGAGCCGCATACCCCGGGAAAGCGCACCGTGGATGCCATCCTCCCGCGTCTCGACGAGTGGATAGAGCGCCCGTGGGCGAGGGCCTCTTTCAGGACGTCGCAGGTGCTCACCGGGCACGGGTGCTTCGGTGAGTACCTGCGGCGGATAGGGAAGGAAGGAAGCGAGAAGTGCCACCACTGTGGCGCGGACAAGGACTCGGCGCAGCACACTCTAGAAGTGTGTCCCGAGTGGGATGCACAGCGCCGGGTCCTTACCAACGAGATAGGCCCGGACCTGTCCCTGCGTGCGGTCGTGGCGGCGATAACTAGGGATAGGAGGAAATGGGAGACTTTCTCCTCCTTCTGTGAGCATGTCATGCTGCAGAAGGAGGAGGCTGAGCGGGTGCGAAGGGGGGAGACAACCCCCACAGCACAACAAGGCGGCGGGGGAGCGGGGATCGGAAGGAGAAGAGGGAGAAGAGGAATCCCCGCTCACTTTAAAAAGTGGAGCCTGACCTAGGCGAATCGGGTCGGGAATAGAGAACAGTCTCTGGGGGAGGGAGGCGGCTGACAGTAAGAGCAGTTGCCTCCCCCCCTGGTGGACTGACTGCGTGCAATAGGCCGTAGATTAGAAGTCCTGGGGGGGAGGCGGGGGCGCGGGATTCGTGGGACGTCCGACCCCACCCCTAGGGGTGGTGTCGGGTCGCCTGCTACCTGCGCCCCTGCCTCCCCCCCATTGCCCCATAAAGGGGCAGGAGGAGGCGGGAGCCCTGTTTAATTAAAGGGCACTCGGGGGTGGGCGCGGGCTGGAGACCCGCGACCCACCCGCCCCCACAACACCAAGGGGGCGCGGCAGGGGCCTGGTGGCACCCCTGCCGCATAACGAATAACGAGGAGAAGGCCGAACAATGAGGCCTAGGTCTCCCCTCCTAAAGGGGAGACTAAGAAGAGCGCGGAATAAGCGTGGCGCGGGGGTCATCCGGAGATTTGCGCTGAAGTACCCGGATGGCCCCCCCAAAGCGCACTGAGACGGCCACTCCCGGTGGTTTTAGTGAGGTAGGCGCCCCCATTGCACACTGGCCTCGAGGTGTCAAATACTCGAGTGTCAGGGGGTGAGTCCCACACACCACCCGTCCCTCTCTCCAGGAGGGGCGGGTGACGGTCCATGAGGATTTCCACCGGGTCAAAAAAAAAAAGGTTAGCCAACCTGCTGTTGGCTCTGATACATTGATGCTGGCCATACAAATGGATCGTCTGGATTTCCAGAAGGTACTTTCTCTCTCTCTTTTCAACTTTGAGAAACGTTGCAGATAGCGACGCACGCAGGCAACTGCACCCCTTGAGATCATCACGGCTTACAACCGTGATGTCCATCCTCAATTATAATTTGATATCGTCATGGCTTAGAGTTGTGACGTACTCAATCACCTTCTCTACATTGAAGATCGTTGCGGCGGTCGCTGTGACGTCGAAGTGTGACTTCAGTCATACTGAGACGTTGCGAACGCTGATGCGATGTTTATAACCAATTGAATTAATATTATTCGACTATTCACAGCTCCAACTTAATTAAAGGATAGCGCGGATATAGAGCTTAAGGAACATTCAACGCTCTAGTTAACACCCAGATAACTTCCCAGGATCGCCACAATACTTATTACAGTCGGTGTTGATGACTTAAGGACATTTACCTTTTATTTTTCTGTTTGGTTTTACGAAGCAAAGGTCAGATTTACTCTATTATATTTATTTTCGTTATTCGCGATTTTTAATATTGACTTAAAGTGTTCTCTGGCGTTGCTCGGTGCGACAAAGTCCGTATTATTTTCTAAATCTAGTTTTTGTTATTTATAATTTTAGGAATTACGTTAACTTTCTTCCCATCAATCGTTCCGTGAAAAATTCAACAATACTACTTTTATACAAACATTTTATCTGTGATTTTGTGTAATACCGAGTATTATATGTATAATACACCATGTAAACATATACATTCTAGTATAAGTAATTGTTTGTACTTTACTCGCTGGCTCTATTGATCAGGAAGTAATTTACGCGCTAATAAAAAGATTACTTATGTTGTATTGGAAAAGGATGTTTACTTATGTAATATTGGACAGGTAGAAATAGGAACGTAGAATGTTAATCCATGCTCTGAGACGCCGGGCGACTGAATTCCTCTCGTCGGTAAAATGAGTACTTATCCGATCTGATCTCGAT